CTCACACAATACTCATTTGGACATACATTCTGGAATTCAATATCTAGTTCCAATGTCATTCAGTGTATTACCACATGTTCAGTAATACATATTCAGCATTCACATTTTAGATTAAAAAATGGATGTTCATCTTGCTTTAAAAATAGTTTTTAACTACTCAACTACCATCACATAACTTTTCTTCTCTTGGATGACTCTCTCACAGAGGGATGAAGAAAGTACCTATACAGCCATCTAAGTAAAAGAACTCTTGGAGGACTGGCTGAATAGCTTATATTACTCTCATCTAGCCTTACTGTCAACACGACATACCTTGTTTGCTACGCTTTTGTTCAGACAGCTCAGGGAAGTCAGGAATACAGGGCTGGGTAGGGTTTTACCCACAGGCATTTTGATGTTTTGTTCATGCTGTACTGCAGAAAAAGAAAGAGGCTCTTGAAAGTGGCAAACGGCAGACTGAGAATACTTTAAAAGAAGGCAATGACATACTTGATGAAGCTAACCGTCTCGCAAATGAAATCAACTCAGTCATAGACGTGAGTATTAGATAAAACCCAAAGTCAAAAGAAAGATGATAATGACATAGGCTTTCATAAATGGGAACCAATGAGAAATCTCAGTAATATAAGCACATGCTAATTTTTTTTCTTGAGGGTATAAAATTGCTTTTACATTATTTTGTTGTGGCCATGCCTACCTATTGGCAACAATTAGAACTTCACATTGTTCTTCCAATAGACAGGAATGCCTATGTGAGGATACCCATCCACTCTTACAAACCTGTATTTTTCCCCCCACAGTGATGAAGCTCATTTCTTGTTCCTAGGACAGCATTTACAATCTGCTTCAATATTCATATAACGTTAGTTAAAATAGAAATGCAAATCTACAACACACTTAACAAACTGTGTAATGCAGCAGATACTGTGACATATAGTAATAGAAGCATAAATGGTCTAAAAGATCTTAATGACAATTATTTACGCATTTATATCTATGAATTAACATTTTTTCTTAAAGATAGGTTCTTCTTGGTTAAATTGGCTTCGTATAGACGTATTTCCTAATTTCTTTCATTAAATAATAGTGTTTATTCTCTATTCTCTTTTTGCTATGTTAGTAAATTTGAACTTTCATGAAAAACTAAGAATGTGTAATTATGTCTCAGAGATTAGTAAATGAGAGGAGGCTTGGATTCATTTACTGAAAATGCCCACTTTTCATAACAGTATGTTGAAGACATTCAAACTAAATTGCCACCCATGTCTGAAGAGCTGAAAGATAAAATAGATGAACTCTCCCAAGAAATAAAAGACAGGAACCTTGCTGAGAGGGTGTCCCAGGCTGAGAGCCACGCGGCTCAGTTGAATGACTCATCTGCAGTCCTTGATGGGTATGTCATTTGTTGCTGGAAATGTTTATGCATCTTGACAATTGTCCAAAAGTGTTGATGAACAGAAATGGTAGAGAATCACTTTCAAATCTTGATTGCTGTAATTGTGAACATGCAAGCTACATGGCCTCTCTGTGGAAGAGTCTAATTAGAAGGGTCTGGGCAAAGCTCTACTGGAGCAGCATCAAAAGTCTGAGTTAAAAGTAGATTCAAATATGGCTTGGTAGGGAGTGAACATAGCCCTAGGCTACACTTAGAAAAAAATGGGTTTTGTTCATTGTTAGAAAACACAGCGGTTGCCTTATTAGCATTTTAAATAATAATGTATAAACACACATCCTGCTTCACATTTCAGTTCTATATTTTTAATGGAATCAAAACTATTTAGTGTTAAATGGGTGGCCTGTGAAAATGTGGCCCCATGCATAGTCTTTAAGTCTTTTTTTTTCAAACTCAAGGGACACGCTATATATTCATCTGTGAAATAATAGCTCACCAAAGCTAGGATTCTTATATGGGTCAGAGAAGGGAGGGGCAAAGGGTTAGGTGTGTTTGACTTATGAACAGCCTTCAAGGTATAACTGGTATGCCTTCTGTGTAATTATATAGGTACAATTAGCCCCAAGAATACATTTCCCAAAGAAATCTGTATTTAATATATGACATCTATGAAGTTCTGTTCCAATATGTAATACTTATTTATACAAAGGAAAATATTGATGTTTAAAGGCCCTGGGCATGATGAATGCACAGTTCATTTTATAACAAACTCTTGCCAACTTAGCATGAAGGCCAGTAAATGGAACAGTAAGCTAGAAGTCAGCAGACGCTGGCTCCAAGTCCTTAAGTAGCAACATTTGGACATGTGACCTGAGACAAACTATGTCACCTCGAGATTCATTACCTTCATCTGGGAAATGCACCTATCCTAGAGAGATCTTTGTGAAATTTGTTCTAGCAATGTGGTCCGAGTGCTCTGAAATGTGCCACATGCTTCACCGATGACATAAAAGATGATCTCACTGCACACACTTCCATGGTACACATGATTGCAGAAGCTTTGGGGGGATGCTATGGGTATTTAATGATACGTTGGTAGTATTTCATAGCTGAATTATTTAGGAATATGAGTTGAAATTGAAAACTACAATATAATATAGTAGTACAATAAAATATAATAATACAATATAATATAACACTATGATGTGTAATTATCATAATTATATTGGCCACACTTATTTGGAAGCCATATTTGTTATATACAAGATGTACTTCATTTGAGTATCAGTTGCTCTAATGTTCTTTTTTGGGGTAATCTCAACAGAATCCTTGATGAGGCTAAAAACATCTCCTTCAATGCCACTGCAGCCTTCAAAGCTTACAGCAATATTAAGGACTATATCGATGAAGCTGACAAAATTGCCAAAGAAGCCAAAGGTCTTGCACAAGAAGCTACAAAACTGGTAAGAAACAAATAGTGTTATATACTGAGAATGAAGGTCCATCTGCTTGAATAACTACCTGAACTAATTTTCTCAAATTTAAATGAAATCTGGTTAATCTTAGTAAGTTAGAAAATCGGTTTAGAATTATTTTCAAAGGCTCCTTTTAAATTTTATTCAAAATAAACTCTCAGTGTACTGTAATCATAGCAGAACTTTTCGCAGTAACCCACTACTGATGAGGGTCTTGAAATTATCACAGATGCCAAGAAGGTTTCTGGCTCCAACTCCCAGAAGAAAAACAGTCAAACATCAGATTCTTTCTAGACAGGGAGATTTATCACTATATTCTAAATGCCATCAGTGAGACAGTGCCTTGAAAATTAACACCATTCCTTATAATTGCACACAAATTTGATATATGTGAAGTTTGACTATAAAGTGTTACAAAATACATCAGATCATATGGTTCTAAATTGTTCATATTATGTTTAGCAGTTGAAACTTTTGCCTTCGAAGCAACCTTTGGCTGCTATCATCGTTCAAAATAAATTTGGACCTAATATTATAGACTTTTGGGCTTCCAAGTATAGCATATTATTTAAGTATCTTCAATATTGACAAATCTTCATCTTTTACATGAAGCAACATTTTGTAAGTTATAAACCTTGGTAATACTGTTTTCGGTAAAAAAACACTTCATAAAGGAATCACATGGTGAGTTAAAATGTTGAGAACTATTATTTACTCCTTTGGCTTCACACAGAATCTCCCAAATATATCAGAATTTCAGAAAAAAAATAATTTGATTCAACATTGACTGTAAATGAAATATGCATAAATAATTGGTGTTAAAGAAACAGATCAGTTTTTTTCCCCTTTTGGTGTTGGGCACAAGTACTTTCTTGGATCTCCCAGATATTTGTGATATCCACCACAATCATAGAGGGTTTATTTTGTGGTCATAATGAAAACATCATATTCCATCATCAATTACTACTGTTCTGGTTTATTTGGAATGAACTCCACTAATGTCATGCTCTCTTTTGTTCATATTCAAAATAGTGATAACAGTTATTGCAGAAACATCCCTATGCTGAGTAATTCTTTCAAAACAAACCTATTTTTAAAATCTAAACTAAGTTCTTTATCCATCTTCTCATACATAATTTTCTATTTTAAAGACCCTAACGCCCAAGTTCACCATTCTCATCCAATCTGTTTTATTGGGTGACCATTTTTCAGCATCTAGCCAGTGCCTGGCAAGTAGTAGGCACTCGTGATTGAATGAATGAAATACTGAATGAATGAATGTCATTCTAATTGACACATTTCATACCTATTTACAATATTTTGTACCAATAAAAAAATCTCACTCCTGTCATTGCTTTATCCTTATAAACTTCTAATATTTTGTGTTCAAGATCTGTTACTTTCACACAAATTTAATACTACCACTTTACACTTAGGAGATTCTCAATTTTTTTACTGACATGAACTGTGCGCTTTTTCTCACCACCGATGCTCATGCATGATAGGCTAGCTAACCCCTCCAACACAGAGCTAGAATGAGTGATAATGCATCACATGTCCTTGTTATCATGACTCCTCTCTTTCCATACACCATGTAAAAATAGTTAAACTTCTGAAAAAGTATACAAAATAAGTGCTAAAGAAGATCACTGATTTATTAAATGGCTAACAGCAAACACAAAGAAGACTGATTCGTCCCAGAAAGTGATGTTTTCAGTGGGGAAAGACTGGGGGCACTTGGTTCTGGTTGCCAGTTGCTCTGTGCAAGAGTGGAGTGAGGGGCTCTGTGTTCCAGCAAATAATGCAGTGAATTATCCATTTATCGTCTCATGACTGACTCTTATCCTCTCCCTTACCTGTTGTTTCTGAGCTCTGGCCTTCTTTGGATTCTGTGCACCTCCTTTCTGGCTTATAGCCACTGAGCAAGGTGAGGGAATAATAACCGCAGAGGGCTGCGGGGGAGGGAGTATCTGAAGACCCATGTTGGCGTGGTTAGGGAAGGGTACCCGTCCTGCTAAAGTGAAGACTCTTCTGCTGAATTTATAGGCTTTCTTTTATCTTCTTTTTACTCCATCATAGTCTTATTTCCCACTGGTCTCTCCTGCTCCATTACTCCACTTTATTTAGTCTCTTGGTACTGTTTTCTGAAAAAACATCAGTCTTCTCAAAATTCAAATTTTAAATAAAATAATCCTTCTGTTTGCTTCCTGTATATTTTACTTCCTCAGGGGAAGAGTATGTTTGGGCCCTCCACTCGCTCATGCAGTCACTGGGTAAATTAGAAATGGTGCTCCCCCTGGGTGAGATATGCCAGGGTACAGAGCATGGTGAGCAGTGCCCTGGCCAGTTCCATTGCCCCTTGGTGTGAAAACTGGGGTGAGACGTGAACTGCACAGCCCCAGCATCATGGGCCTTGCTCTCTACAACCTGCTTCCATGGCCTGCTGCTACCGTTTCACTGCTTGGTGACTTATGGTGTTTTGTTTTATATCTGCTTCCTTTTCCTAGCAAAGAATGTCTCTGGAATAAAAATTTAAGTGCATAGTAGACCCCCAGGATACAGAAACATGGATAACCATAAAGGACCCCCTGAGTATTTCACTCTCACTGTTTCACACACAATATGTCATGATTTTCACATAGGTAATAGCTGGTGTGTAGCAGCTGATCACTAAAGGTAGATTGCTGCCTCCCCTCTCCAAACACTGATTCTAGACTCTAGAAGGGCTAGTATGCTCTAGATTTTCAGAATTGACAAGACATTTATATTTCCATGAGAGAGAGGAAAGTTGAATAGAGAAGAAAAAGTCAATGTAAAAATAACATTACTTTCCCTATTTAGTTTGAGATAATGTCTGAATATCTGTTTAAATGTAGATGTCATGTGGGATTTTTTTTTTTAATGGATCAGAATTAGGTTCTTCTAATGGTGTGCTGGAATTTCTGAAATCAAACTGGGAGAAGGTAGCAGGTCAGAATTTGGGCTTTACAAAATCTGTCTTCAAATTAAGCGCATTGTACAGTCTATACTGAGCCATCCCTTGGCTTAATTTCTATAGTATAGTTCCTAGATCTTAGAACTTAATTTTTAAATCAAATTTAATTTTCAGTCTTCAATATAAGATTATATCTTACTCTTCCTGTTGACACAGTCAGGATGCTTATGAGAGGTGCTTATTGATAAGTGTTAAGGTACTAAGCATGCCCACATTTGCAATTTTCTCTTTAAAAAAATTTAACCACATATTTAATGTACTTAATGTGTAAATAGCATTGTGAAACACAACACACAGGGTAATCAGAGATAAATAGAATTCTAACCTGCCCTCAAACCAGCAATAATCATTTGTATTTTTGTTATTTGTCATGCTAATAAAAATAATGCTTTCCAACTTTTACCTACATAGTTTATTATTTTCCTTTATTATAAATGCTCTTTTCCTTCCTATTAATAGTCTTCCCTTTAATATTATTAATATCATTCCTAATAATTATTTTTCTTTATTAGTTTTTGAGTCCTCATAGTAGCAAAATTCTTTTGACACCACTGCTATTGGTCAATAAATCATATAGTTAAACACTGTGAATCTTGCAATAATGTGATTAAACATTAAGGCATTTCTAATGAGTGTTTGTTTAGAAGTGTGGTCATGTATTCTCTTCAGTCTGTCTTATTTAATATTTGCTTTGTATAATTGGATGAACCAAAATACATAAAGAATTCTGGCAAGGTCATTTTTGAGTTTTTATTTCCTACATAAAGGATTGGGCAAATATTAGCAATGTACATATTATATTCAAAAGACCCAATAAAATAGCTATAAAATAGCTATAAACTTTAACTCCCATATACCTTGTATTTTATTCTGTCATCTATTACTTAAAAGTCATTCAAACAGTAATTTTGACTTCTTATTAATATCTAAAATTATTGGAATTTAAATTTTATACCAGTGTAGTGTTAATGGAAAAATGATATAAATGCATAATTGATATAACAATTGAATCTGCTAAGAAAACTAATGAGCATTTCTTTTTCATCAGCACTTCAGCAACTAATATAAGAACTAAGTGATTCACAGAGTAGCAAATATGAAAAAGTCAGTGAGGATCTATGTTATCTAGAAAAATATGAATCTGTGTGTGAAAATAGTGTTCATTAAGCCTCCCTGACTTTAGAGATTTTCTTTATACAGGATACACTCATTCGACTCAATAACTTTAAAAAATCTACTGGAAACAGAGAAACAAACTTCTCTCTTATGATCCAACATTAGACATATTAAAAAATTTAGGGCCCAAAATATTAAAAATCAAAGGGTTTGTGTCATTAGTCAGAACTCAGAAACTCTTTGGGATGATGCTGTAATGCCACATAAGTTTGAACTAATTACATTCAAGGCAGCGATGCCCTCAGACCTGCTATTTAGGATTACCACCTGAGGTGGAATAATTAAGATGTGAAATGGCCACGTTGGGTTTGACTCTGGACATTAACTAGAAAGAAAACCTGTGCCCTCTGGGGATATTCTCTAACTCAGTAGACACTTCTCAATTGCCTTGACTCAAAATCAAGATTTCTTGTAATCCCCGCCCACCTCACCCCCAACATCTTATCCAGCTCTGCCTCATTGCGGCAAGTTAGCGGCACCCATACAGGCCAGGGTCATGGCTGTCATGCTGTAACTGGTGAAAACCTGTTCTCTCTTATTTATGCATTTTTAAACCCTCTCCTGAGGGCTGGCCCTGTGGCTCAGTTGGTTAAGAGCTCGCTCAAGAGTTTGAGCTCTAAGTAACAGCAGTTTGATGCCTAGCCCGAGCTGAGCTGAAGCTAAGCTGCCAATAGGTCGCAGGATGGCTCAGTTTAAAAAACAACAACAAAAAAAAACCCTCTCCTGATTGTCTCCTGATTGTCTTTCTCAGTGTTCTCATCAAGCTGAAAATTCAGTCATCAATTCTAAATTTGCATCATTTTGAGGATTTTCTAGT